CCCGCCCCCTGCATGGAAGGGGACACCTCCCACCAGCCCAGGTTGCTCCAAGCCCCATCCAACCTGCCCTTCAACACCCCCAGGGATGGGGCAGCCACAGCTTCCCTGGCCCAGGCTCTCCCCACCCTCCCAGCCAACAAGTTCCTCCTCAGCTCCAACCTCCAGCTCCCTTTTCCAGTTTTCATCCATCTCCCCTTGTCCTCTCCCTCCTTGCCCTTGGCCCAAGCCCCTCCCCAGCTTCCCTGGAGCCCCTTCAGGCACTGGAAGCTGCTCCAATGTCTCCCTGGAGCCTTCTCCTCTGGCCCAGGTGCAGCTCTGGGGCAAACCCAGCTGATCACAACCCCCCCCAGTTGCCAGGGGGGACCCAGGGGACCCCCCTCACCTCGCACGAGCTGGGTGCACTTCACCACGTGGGTGTGGGGGTGGTCGATGGTGATCTCAAACCCTGGGGGGGGGGGAAGACAGAAAAAGGGACCATCAGGAGGGCAGGAGAACATCCCCAGGGATCTCCAACCCCCACGTGCTCCTGGGGGACAAGGGGACAAGGCCCTTCCCTCCTACAGCCCCTGCTGGGAGGGAAACAGGGAGAGAAGAGCCTGTTTTCCTGGCTCCAGAAGTTCTCCAGGCTCAAAACCACCAAGGTCCCAGCTGCTTCCAGACCTCCCAACAGCTCCATGACTTGCAAGATTGAAAACAAAACCACCACAAAGGGCTGGGTTCTTTTTTTTTTGTGTGTGTGTGGTGTTTTTTTGGTGTTGTTTTTAACAAGCAGCAGGACAAAAGCTGGGGGAGCAGCTGGGAGGAAGGGGAAGACAATGGCAGCTGCTCCAAGGAATTTCTGTCACCCCCCAAAAAAAAAAAGCCAAGAGGAAGCAGAGGTTTCCCCTTTGGAAGGAGCCTGGAGGACTAAGGACAACTGGGCTTGATGCTCCCTCTGCTTTCCCAACTCACTGGGTGGATCCTGTTTGAAAGAAAAGGATCCTAACTGAGCTTGGTCCAGAGTTACATCTTCTAGATCTAGATCCTAGAAGAACCAGGGTGTTAAAAATCAAAAGGCAACTGGAAAACCTGAGTCCTGGCAGAACTGGGGGGAGTTGAGCCCTTGGTTGGTCAGGCCAGAAGGTGGGATCCACCCCCAGGCCCCTCCTGGCCCCCTGGGGACAAGGGACAAAGTGACACTGGCTGAGCCACAGGAGCACCTGGGAATCTGCCCCTGAGATGGAGCAGATTTGGGTCAAACCATCTTGGAACATGGAACGAGCAAAATCCCACAGCCCTTGGGGGAACATCCAGCTCCTGCTTGGAAGAAAAACCCCCTCAAAAACTGTTGGTTTCTTTCTTTTTCCCCTTCCTATTCAGCCATTTGATCCAAATCTTGACTTTTTTAGCCCATTTTGTGAGGACATTCCTGGATGTCAATCCTGGCCATGGGATCAGAGCACAGGGGTGACCAGGACCTGCTGGGGGGGTGAGAAACCTCAACACCCCCCAGCACTGACCCTGATCCCAGGCCCAGCTGTAAAACCTGGCAAAAAAAACCCCAGGAGCTGGGGGGGTAAAATGGGAATTGGCCTGGATTCCTGCTCTCCCAGGGGCCAGATGTGCCCTCCAGCTGTGGGGAAGGGGCAGCTCAAGCTTCTGGGGGACATTCCTGGCTCTGGGATGGGGGTCCCAGTTCATCCATTCACTTGGAAAAACCTCCCCAGGATCTGTTTTGGTTGGAGTTTTTTGGGGAAAAAAAACAAACCACTTGGAAAAACCTCCCCAGGGTCTGTTTTGGTTGGAGTTTTTTGGGGAAAAAAAAAACAAACCCACTTGGAAAAACTTCCCCAAGGTCTTTTTTTGGGGGGGAAAACCCCACTTTGACCAACTTACCCAGGGTCTGCAGTATTATGCTCTCTAGAATGACCAGGTCTTGGGCTTGTTGCAGGTAGGCCTGGGGTTGAGAGGACAGGCAGGTTACTCAGGAGGAGGCACTGGGATAAAACCTGCACATTTCTAACTCCCCTCAGCTCAGGGAGGCAAAAGCAGCAAAGGGGGGAATCCTTCCTGCTGGTCTGTACTGGGGGAAACTGGGAGAGATTCCCTGCCAGAAAAGAGAAAGCAGAGAGGTGGGGATGGAGCTGCCCCCCCTGTGGGGGTTTGGGGACCTCTCAGGTCTGGTCCCTCAGCTCTAAGAGCAGCAGAAAGAAGAATCTGTTGCTTTTGATTTAATTTAGTTGTGGTTTTTTATTGTCTTTTTCATTTTCCTCCCCAGGATGAAGCTGCCCCTTCCAGCAGGGCTGGTTTCTCAGCTCCAGGTCAGAGGGGCTGGTTCCAGAGGTGGGAACTGGGGGAGGTTTTGAATGAAGCTACTACTAAAGGTGTGGGGACAGCACTGACCCCCCCCAGGATGGAAGAGATGGGGAGGAAAAACCTTCTGCTGGGCAGGAGGAGCCAAAGGCCCCAAGCAGGCAGGAGCAGTGGAAGGTGCCTCTGCCTATCCCAGGGCCCAGTTGCTCCCACAGAGAGTGGGTCATAGAACCATGGACTGGTTTGGGTTGAGGGGACCTTAAAGACCATCTAGATCCCACCCCCTGCACGGGCAGGGACACCTCCCACCAGCCCAGGCTGCTCCAAGCCCCATCCAACCTGCCCTTCAACACCCCCAGGGATGGGGCAGCCACAGCTTCCCTGGGCAACCTGGGCCAGGGTCTCCCCACCCTCACAGCCAAGAATTTCATCCTCATCTCCAACCTCCATCTCCCCACTTCCAGTTTTAATCCATCCCCACTTGTCCTCTCTCTCCCTGCCCTTGTCCCAAGCCCCTCCCCAGCTTTCCTGGAGCCCCTTCAGGCACTGGAAGCTGCTCTAAGGTCTCCCTGGAGCTTCTCCTCTCCAGGCTGGACACCCCAACTCTCCCAGCCTGGCTCCAGAGCAGAGCTGCTCCAGCCCTTGGATCATAGAACCATGGGCTAGTTTGGGTTGGAAAGGATCTCAAAGCCCACCCAGTGCCACCCCCTGCCTGGGCAGGGACCCCTCCCACCATTCCAGGCTGCTGCAAACCCCATCCAACCTGCCCTTGGACACCCCCAGGGATGGGGCAGCCACAGTTTCCCTGGGCAACCTGTTCCCATGTCCTGCTGCAGGTGCTGGGATCCAGCACAACTCCAAGTCCACCATTCCCAGGCCTGGTGCTCTGCTCCTCCCAGCACAGCCCAGCCCAACACTCACCTCACTCTTGGTCTCCAGGGGGGTCTCCAGAGGGTGCAGACAAGCATGGGCCACCTTGATGACATGTTCCAGCTTCCTGGGCTGCTCTTCCACCTTGGCTGCCAGGAACAGAGCAGCTGGCACCACTGACTGCAGGGGGAGGGAGGACAAAACCACCACCCACATCATTATTTTCTTTAAAAATCACTCAGTTCAAGATTAAAGTCAATACATGAGGCTCCTTCTCACATCTAAACCCAACAGAAAGCAAAGTCTGTGCAAGTGCAGGAAGGAAAAAGGGTCTGTGGGGACCACCAGGAGCCCCCCTCCCCAGGCAGCAGCAGAGCTGGGGGTCCCAGTGCCCCCCACCCCAGCACACTCACATTCCTGTGGAACTGGCTGCA